GATCACCAGAGCCCAGGAGTTTCTGGCCAGCCTGGGCAGCACAATGACATACCTTCTCTTTAAAAAAAAAATCACAGAGAGCACATTTGGCACCAATGATCTGAAACCAGGTCATGAAACCAATTTAAAAAGTCACAAGTTTTTTATGGATGGGATGGGATGGGATGGGATGGGATGGGATGGGATGGGATGGGATGGGATGGGATGGGATAGGATGGGATGGGATAAGATAGAGGAGAGGTAGGGTAGGGCGGGGTGGAGTGGGCAGGGCAGGGGAGGACTGGATGGGAGGGCGAATGAGAGGGGGGATGGGATGGTACAGGTCAGAAAAATATCAGCACATGGAAGGCCACTAAGGTAGGCAAGCACACCTTTGACCCACCTGTACCTCAGCTATATGCCAACACTGGGATGCAGCTATAGATGTACTACTTACCATGCTTATGGCCCAGCAGAGTGACTGAATGACCATGAAAACTATGCTCATTTGCACACTCAACTCAGATCTGGGATGGAGTTAGGGAGAGGGCCCAGATAAGAGCTGGGCAGGAAGTGAACTGATTTTTGAAGTGTTCTTAGGACTTTAAATGGATGAGTGAATGAATGAGTAGAGCAGAGGATGAATGAACAAGAATATCCAGGATGGTGACAGTGATGGTAATAAAGGGGAGCACAAGAAGGTAAAACAAGAGAGGTCACTGTGGAAGAAGACTCAGGTGGTGCAGCCAGGCAGGGCCACCTTCCTGCTGACCAGAGCCGTGACCTGGCAGGTGAGCTGGCTCAGGAACTCACCTCTGGGTGGCTCTAGGCTGAAGCTCTCAAGGGACAGTGCCTGACAGGAGAAGGTCTTGGCCACTGTCTGCTCCACAGGTGTGAGGGCTGGAGCCTGTGGTTTGCCAGAGCCTGGGGCAGAGCCAGCGGCTGCCTTCCAGAGGTACCCAGTTTGTGTCACACAACAGCACACTTGTGCTTCAAGTCAACCATGTCGCAGCAACAGTAACCCAGCACATTCACAGCCTGAAGGATTCGGCTCCACACCTGAGACCTGCAGATAGGCTCAGCCTTCAGCAGTCCTGTGCCGAATAGCAACTGGGCTTGCTGACCTTGGACACTACCACTTCAGTCTCCTGTGGGCAGAAGTTGGGCTTTCTCTTCTTGGTCCAGATAGCAATGAGTCCTGCCATCCAGGTGTGAGGCCCAGTAGCCAAATCCTTCCTGGTCCAGGGGCAGGTAGTGGGATGGATTCACCATCTTCCTACCTTCAGGGGTGACACCTGGCCCTGAAAAAGCACAAAAGGCAAGTGTTCAAGGCCTTGGGCCTGGTAAAAATGGCAGCTACAAGGGAGCTCATGGAGCACCTCCTCTGTGGCTTTCGCTTTAAGGCACAGGTATCTGCTCCTGGCTTCCACCCTTCCCTGCTAGATGTCCAGAAACTTGGAACTCAGACCCTCTAGCTCTGCCTTGCTCAGAGCCATCAGCAAGGCACTTAACTTTTGAGCCACAGCACCCCATTTTCATGGACATACCATAGGCCAGTGATGGTGAACCTTTTAGAGATCAAGTGCCCAAACTGCAATGCAAAACTCACTTATTTATGGAAAGTGCCAATTCTGCACCTGTAATCCAATGCTTGTTTACTGGGGCAACTTGACTTGTATGCCAAGAGAGGACTCTGTATGCCTGCTGTGGCATGCTTGCCATAGGTTTACCACCACTGTCCTAGGATGTCCTTCAACTGGGAACAGCTCTTACCCAGTGATGTGCCAGAATACCTTTTAGACCTACCTGCCGGCTTGCCAAATGCATAACCTCATGAATCAGGTGGGTGCTGTCCATGGCTTCCACTCCCATGCTCAGGAGGAGGGCAGGCAACTGGAAAAGCAGCCTGATCTGAAGCATGGTCCCCTCCTCTCCAAGGCCTTTCCACCCCAGTGCATGGGGGCTCCAGGCTGGGCCAAAAAATAGCACCAAAGTGTCCCTGTCTCTCTTCCCACACATAAGCTTTGCCACAACCAAGCTTTGGCTTCAGAGTCCCCCAACATTGGAAGGTGCCCTTAGGGCAGCAGGGGCATATCTAAACCCCAGCAATGAGAAGCACTCAAAAAACAGCAGCCCCAAGCCGAGGGGGACAGCCACCCCAGCACTGACGAGGACCCTTCCAGGTCGCAGTACCACTACCCCCAGCACCGAGGAGCAGAGACACCCCCAGCACAGAGGAGGTGAGCCTTCTGAGCCGTCTTACCACCACCCCAGCCCTGAAGAGCAGAGCCGCCCAAAGCACCAAGGAGGTGAGCCTCGATGGCGCCTGCAGCACACACCTTCCCCCATCCCCATCCCCATTGAAATGAGAGGACATGTAAACAAGTCCCTAAACCAGACTTCCAGATCACCTAAGGTAACCCCAAAGGGAAACCAGATGGAACAATCTGATACTCAACTGGATTCCCTGAACTGACAACAAAAGAGGATCTGGAAAAAATGAAATCAGAAATAATTTCTCACATAACAGCAGAGATTGTGCCCACAGTGCAAGACATGATTAATAAATCTAGAGAGGACACATATAAAAAATAGAGGAGCTGAGGAACATGATGGAATCCTAACACAGGAAACAAATGGAATCCATAAAACAGATGCAAACAGATTTCCAGGAGATTGAAAACTCCATGGAAAGTTTATGCAGCAGAATGTACCAATGTGAGGACAGAATTTTAGATATAGAACATAAGATTGCAATTAGCGACCAGGAAAAGAAAACTTTCTTTAAAATACTAAGGTATCATGAGAAATCAATCCAGCAGCTGCTAGATGATGCAAAGAAAAATAACATAAAACTGATCAGAGTCAAGGAAGAAACAGGAGAGAGTGCAGATGACATAAGAAAAAACTGTTTACAGAAGTGATGGCAGAAAACTTCCCAAGCAGGGGAAAAGAATTTGACATACAGATAAGTGAGGCATATAGCACTCCAACTAGCTGTGATCAAAAAAAAAACTATACATATGCATATAATTGTTAAGATTCCAGAAACCCAACTGAAGAACAAAATTCTACAAGCAGTTAGAGAAAAGAAACAAATCACATACAAAACAAAGCCCATCAGAAATACTGCAGACTTCTCAATGCAAACCCTCAAGGCAAGAAGAGCTTGGAGTGATGAATTTCAAGCCCTAAAGGAAAACAGCCTCCAATCCAGATTGATGTACCCTGCAAAGCTATCTTTCAAAATTGATGGAGAAATAAGATACTTTCACGACAAAGAGCACCTCAGGAACTTCATGAATACCAAACCAGCACTCCAAAAAATTTTACACAATATCCTAGGAAAAGACAATGAGGATCACAACCCCAGGAAGCCCAGCATAATGAATCCATCAGGCATGACAAGAACTTAAATGCAAAGGGGGAGAATCTAACAAAAAGAAACAGTCATGACAATGATAAGTCAATACATATCAGTTATAACCATCAATGTTAATGGTCTCAATTCACCAATCAAAAGAAATAGACTGGCAGAATGAATCAAGAAGCAAGAACCAACAACATGCTGCATACAAGAAACACACTTAATTCAAAAAGAAACTCATAGACTGAAAGTTAAAGGATGGAAAACAATACTCTATGTGACAGGAACCCAAAGAAAAGCAGGAGTAGCTATTCTCTTTGGAGATCAAGTGGATTTCAAACCAAAACTGATTAACAGAGACAAGGAAGGATACTACATCCTTGTAAAGGGAACAATCCAAGAGGAAGAGATGACAATCATAAACACATATCCACCAAATACTAGTGCACCCAACTATATAAAATAAATACTAACGGACATGAAAAATCAAATAAGCACTAATAGTAGTCGGGGACCTCAATACCCCACTGTCACAAATAGATAGATCAACTAGACAAACAGTAAGCAATGAAATACTGGAACTCAATCAAACTCTTGAACAAATGAACTTAACAGATGTCTACAGAGTGCTCCACCCCACAAAATCTGAATACACATTCTTTTCAGCTGCACACAGATCGTTCTCCAAAGCAGACCACATACTCACTCACAGAACATGTTTAAGTATGTGCAAAGGAATTCAAATTATCCCCTGTATATTATCAGACCATAGTGCGATGAAATTGGAGATCCATAGCAAAAGAAACTCAAAAAATTTCATAAACGAATGGAAATTGAACAACACACTTCTGAATAACCAATGGGTCACAGAGGAAATTAAAGAAGAAATCACACAGTTTCTACAATTAAATGACAATGACAATACAACATATCAGAATCTATGGGACATAATGAAAGCAGTCTTACGAGGGAAATTCAGAGCAGTGAATACTCACATTAGGAAAACAGCAAGCACAATTAAACAATCTGATGCTGAACCTCAAGCTTCTAGAAAAAGAAGAGCAGCACAAACCCAAAGCTCATACAAGGGAGGAAATTATAAAGATCAGAGCAGAAATCAATGCAATAGAGGCTAAGAGAATGATACAAAAAAATCAATGAAGCAAAGAGTTGGTTCTTTGAAAGAATAAAATTGACAAACGCTTAGCCAACCTTATCAGAAAAGGGAAAGAAAAGGCCCAAATCCATGAAATTAGGAATGAAATGGATGAAATTACAATGGAACCAGCAGAAATCCAGAGGATCATCAATACCTACTTCAAGAACCTATACGCCAATAAGATGGAAAACCCAGAAGAAATGGACAGATTCCTAGACATGTATGAATTACCAAAGTTGAATGAAGAAGACCTAAAAATTCTAAACAACTCAATATCAATCAATGAAATTGAAAACGTAATTAAAAACTTACTAAGAAAAGCCCGGGTCCTGATGGCTTCACTGCTGAATTCTACAAGACATTTAAAGAGAACTACTGCCACTACTGTTTAAACTCTTCAATGAATTTGAAAGGGAAGCAATATTTTGGAATTCATTCCTGGAAGCAAGCATCACCTTGATCCCCAAAGCAGAGAAAGATCCAACCAAAAAAGAGAACTACAGGCCAATCTCACTAATGAACATAGATGCAAAAATCCTTAATAAAGATACTGGCAAATAGAATGCAGAAGATCATCAAGAAGATCATATACCCTGAACGAGTGGGATTCATCCCAGGGATGCAGGGTTGGTTCAACATATGCAAATCAATAAATATAATCCACTATATCAATAGAGCCAAGGACAAAAACCATATGATCATCTCAATAGATGCAGAAAGAGCATTTGACAAAATCTAACACTCATCTATGATAAAATCCCTACACAAAATTGGAATAGACGGTCTCTACCTCAATCTGATAAAAGCCATCTATGAAAAACCAACAGCCAACAACATACTAAATGGTCAAAAACTGAAATCCTTCACACTAAAATCAGGAACAAGGCAAGGATGTCCACTATCACCACTCCTGTT